CCCCACCCAAATCCTACTGGGCAAGATGCCTGCTAACGCACCGGCCTCCTGGTGTGGACGCTGTTGTGTTTGTGTGTAGGTGCATCTTGCGTCAGCAAGTCAAGACAGCCTACTGCAATACTTCTATTAGCACCAAATTCTCTAATTCATTCCTTTGTTCAGTCTATTGCATCTCCTCCTCAGTCTCATTTTATCTCCCTCCCCTGGTGTGGAGTGTCACCAAGTTTCTTGCAAGACTACACTGTTGAAAATCTCCTCCTCCTCCTCTCCTGGCCAGCTTTCTTCTCCCCTGGCAAAAACACACATACGCACAGACCTACATTGTACTCCATGCCTCTGCAAAGAGCCAACAGTTTTCTGCTGAGCCTGTACTTTTCCTTGGTGGGACATTAATACTGGTAGCTGCCCTATGTGTACGCTTGATGGCAGGGATAGAACAATAACAGCATTACAACACACTCACACAAAACAGACATACTCCATTAGTATAACTCCCGCTCTCTGTCTCCCTTTTCACACAGACACACAAATGCCATAAGACACAGACAACAACAGGGAGGCGCCTAAGGAATCCGTGGGGTCTTAGTGGTTGATGAGATACATTTAGCGTAAGTGGATTAGCCTCAATACAAACCAATCCCCCATTGCAGCAAGACGAGAGAAAGGCAATGAGAGAAAGGCTGGCTGAGAAAGAAAGAAAGGCAAAGGTGTAACAAAAGAGTACAGGAAAGGAGAACAAAGGAAGCTAGGTGTGTGTGTCAATACTAGAAAGGAATCTGCAGCACTAATTTGGCCCATACAAAACTGAGAAAACCTGAAGTCAGGGGAGGTCTTGACATAGTGACATAAGCTCCCGTCATCATTGCAACATTACACGCCACACCATGCATGAGCATGTGGGTGTGAACGTCTGCAGGGAGGCACACAAGTGAAGCAACTCATAAAATTCAGGTGTGGACTGTGCAGCAGCAGCAGCAGCGCCAATCAATTAATTGTACAGCGGCCGTCTGCTCGCACCACAGAGGAGCGATTGAGAGTTATTTAATACCGAGTTTCTAAAGAGCGTTAGAGAAGATTCTGATAAGAACTCCCCACGGACACAACGACCCAATAAAAGATTTCCTCTGCAACTGGAATCATGGGACTTCTGTTTCTGCACAATTTCCAATAAGCAGGATTTTTCTAGACAATATTGGAATATTTTATAACTTCAATATCTGTGGTAAGCCACAGCAGGAGGTGATGAAAAAACAAATCAGTGACAGAACTGATTTTCAACAACACTGAATTTATGGGATTTATACAACGATAAGGTGAAGTACCTTGATTTGTTAAGCATTAGTGCATTGGATTAGCCACAAGCATGAATTTAAACCTGTTATTTCAACTACAAACTGCTTCTGAATATGGTTTTCCGTGGCATCAGTGCGTACAAAGAAAATAAGCTATACTGCTCAATATTTATCACAAACAAAGCAAACGCACATCGGTGTCTGTGTCAGTGAGTGTGGTGTTAGCATACCTCTTGCAGACAGCTTCTTAGTGTTGATGATTTTTGCAGCATATTCCTGTCCTGATGATTTCTTTACACACCTACGCACCACTGAAAAAGCTCCCCTAAGAAGAAAGAACATAAACAACCAAAAATCAGTTCCATTTCAGACGCTGCCTCTCTGGCACACACACACACACACACACAAAGTGTGACATTTGAAGCTGCATCTACATGTGGCAGTGGTTTGTTGTGAATACTAACAATCTCACCCTTTCCCCCCTTCTCTGCCCGTCTCTCTGTCTCAGACTCACAGGTTTTTTTTTGTTTTACAGCCATCATATACTACATCACTATAACAGGGGCAGTAAACCTGAAAAGGTGAGACAATCAAGCAAACCAGCAGTCATAACAAGCTTCTCAAGCAGCTATGAATATGAACGACCGAGTACTTTCTCTAATCTCTGATATGCACACAACACAATGCAACCTACTCCCCCCCAAGAGGAAATTCAATTTGCAACAGGCAGTACAGAGACTGGGCTGCGTTTCACACAACAATCGTCAACATTTAATACATTCACACTCACAAATGCACTCAAACATAAAAGGAAGTGCACACTACAAGACGCCTGCCACTCTGAGGAGTTTCATATTGACCTAGATGAATGCTCGCACAGTGGCTCTGGTGATTCTATGAGTCTGAGCAGTTACACAAGATGTAATTACACATGGTTTTCATAGCATCTGGACAACCTGCAGTTTCGGGCCCTCGAGAGTTTCCCTAAAAGAGAAGAAGGGCTCCTTTTTTTGTTTTGTTTTTTTCTAATGCGGTGGATGATATATGGAGGGCTGCTCCTTTCTGCTGCACACTGCTCCTGGTCTCGATGATTAACCAGTAAATGAGAAGCGACAGGTGACACAAGTACAAGTCCGTGACTTGACATTAATAAGCTATGACGGAGCAAAATTCATTATCAAACAGGTGCAGAAAGATAAGCCAGGGTAAGTGGTCGGTCTGGAGGAAGATCAGGGGCAGTAGAGAGAAGATCTGTAGATGTGTGTGTGTGTGTGTGCCAGTGGACTGGCTATGTAATCAGTGCCATCGATTACTGTCAATTACAAAGGACAGAGTGGAAGTGGCAGTTGAAATTAAGGGCAGTGTATCTTTATACGGCCAGCGTCGCCCTGCTGTTGATTTGAGGGATAAAAGCCTTAGCCGGCCAAGAACAGCAGATGCTGTCGCTGCTGCTGGAGCAGAGGAGGTAGCAGTCTGATTTTTCTGCCGTCATCAAAATACCGAGAAAACACGTCATGCCTCTTACACAGTAAACGCCAAATTGCCCTTGTAACCACCCAGAAATCACAGATCGGCTCTCTTACGGAGCCTTAACAGCGATTCATTTATTGATAACATGATGGAGGGGACAGCTGGCGCGCGGAGCTTATAGGTATTACAGTGCAAACATAAAAGCGGCAGAGGTTGGACCGAATAACTTCCTCATTAACTGATCCAGGGGTACGTAGCGTTACTCAACACAGTAACACAAATCATCTGCAGCTGCTTGGAGAAGAAGAAAAAAAGAAAAAAAGGAAGGGGGGGTCGGCCTAGTTAGCTAGCGACCACAGCCTTAGGTCGAGCCCGCACAGAGCTGCCAGCCCCGTGGGCTGGTGAAATGTCACAGGGCTACGTCTCCGGCGTCTCTCGGGGCCCGGCTGACGGGTCAAGCAGACCAGAGAACACCGGCTACCAGACGCGGAAAGGCCAGCAGCTGCTCATACACCAACATCTGCGCCTTCTGCTCATCCCTACCAGCGATTAAAAGACGCAACGCTAGTCGGCTAACTCGGCCAGTTTATCAATATCAGCGTGGTAGCTCCCTGGCTAGTAACTGAACGTTAGTGCGCTCTTCCCGTTACTGCCAGAGCAGCTGTTAGCCTATAGCAGCGGTTATTTAGCCTGACTGCACTACGACAATAGTACACGCCTGCTAGCATGCACTGACAGACCACTAAAAGCAGGCAGCAGAATTAAGTCTACAAGCAATGTTGGCTAACTATCACTGCTAGCTGGCTAACCAGAAATAATATGAGGCGAGGTTGCGGGGGTGGGGGACAAAACGACAAGACAAACACGATGCACACTGTAACGTTGAGGCTGCTTACTTCCCGAGCTCCTCGTATAGCTGGTACTCATCAGTAAACCGGGTGGAAGTAGCGGTGGTTGCCATGGTTGGAGCCGTGAGAGGGGAGCCCGAGCCTTGGGGTACGACGGCGGCAGCTGCGGCGGCAGGCTCTCGTACAGGGTCCGAGAGGAGGGTAGCCTAGCCTCCAATACTAAAGCACCTTTCTGACAGGCAGGCAAGACTGAAGAGAGGAGAGAGGCGAGCAGAGACGGAAAGGGAGGGGCTGGCTACAAGAGGAGGAGGAGGAGTGATGATGGTGGTGTGTGTGTGTGTGTGTGCGTGTACGTGTAGTAAAGAGGTGCAATCCTCGCGAGAATAGGCTCGTGCAGCAATGAGAGCGGGGCCTCCAATTCAATGAAGTCACTGAAAAAAGTGGGGAGATGATGGTGAAATGTTCTCTCAGTCATTTAGATTAAATAATTCATCTTTTGTCATGCAGTGGATCTCACAATGAGATGCCGCTAAAGTGTACAAGAGCCACGTGACGGTCCAGAGAAACAGAGTTGGCATCCAAGATCTGTCTCTTCTCATTTCTTTCAAAAAAAAAATATTGCAGGCAACAAGCAGCAGCGTTTTTACTGCACCGGTCGGGATACACCCATCACTGGGTCACACCTCACTGCAGCAGAGTCAGACTGTGACACACACACACACACACATTCATACACACACAAGGCATAAGTTCACACTCAAGGAATCAATATTGATTAATGCAGGTCTTGCTCTCAACACAGGAGGTCGGCCTTCCTGAACAACTGAATTGACTTTGCATTTGAGGGGAGTGCATGTGCATAAGAGAGATAGGGATGGTTAATGGGAACAGTGTGACTGCTGTATCAGGTTTCCACTGACGAGCATCCACAGTGTGAGGGCTGTTGGCTTGGCGGCGCTAAAAGACAGTGTCACAAAGATCCAGAGTGCCTCTCTAAATGTTTAATGTGGCATGAGTGGGAGGCCATCAGAGGACAGGCAAGGTGGGGCTGGAGAGTTACAGTTAGAGGGCCTCTGCATGTGAGCAGTTCAGCTCAGAGAAGGGACAGCAAACAGCACACAGACACAGTCATAAGAAAAAGAGAGCAAAATGGTGATTTCACTTGAAAGTCTTTATGCGTGGTTGTCAGCGTGGGAACGCAAAAGCTGAAAACGCTGAAAAGTTCAAATATTACGAGTGGAGCCAGCTGAATCGGCGATGGAGAGCATGAAAAGGAGGCCGGCATTTATGTGCGAGCGTGTGCATGTTTGTGTGTTATGTGGAAGACAAACGAGCGCTGCATTGTAGGCTACTGGCCCTATGCTGCCCTCCTTTTCCTACGTGCTAACCCCGCTGCCTCTCCTCCTCTTCCTCCACCTCCTCAGCCTCCACAAAAGTTATATAATGGTGAACTCCTCAGCCTTTGTTATCTCACACCAACCACACACTACGCCTTGCCCGCTTCATGAGAGACAGAGGAGTGAGGAGAGAGAGAGAGAGCGAGGAGAAAGTGGGATGATTTCTCATGAAGAAAAGAAACATAATCTGTGATTTTTCACGTTTTATTTTCAGATTGTAACAGTCACGCATATGCACACACTGTGCACTTTATATGCGTGTGTTACCTACTGTAACGCTGACACCGACTGACTGTGACGTCTCTCTTGGTTTTGCAATGAAAATGCTGCATGAAGGTGGCAGCTATTTATGCTGACATCTCTTATTACTCCCATGCCGCCCTGCAGGGAAAAACAAAGCACTCAATGTCTATGAAATTGCACTCAATCTCAAAGGAAATGCTGAATTATCATCATATTATAACATGTTTCACTATACGCATTAAAGGCACTTCAAAGGTTTCCCTTAGTTAATGTATAGCTGCAGAAATGTATTTAGTAGTTCTTTGTTAAAAGCACCAGTTGAGGTTCTGCGGTAGTCAGAGACAAAATATCATATTTCTGTTTGTAGCAGACTCTCATTGCTAACTGAAGCTGTGTTTATACCCAGAAAAGACTAACTGTGTAATCAAAGCTTGAGTAGCTGCGATACATTTAGGAATGAATTTTCCTCTGTTGTGACTAATGAGGGTGAATATGCCATCTGTTACATCATCACAACTGAGAGGGTGGATGTGGCCAGAAGCTGAGTCATGACACTCCCATTCTCCACTGCTTTTGGAGAAATAATCCGACTGGGGGAAGTGAATGAGTAACACTCTTCCTTCCTTCAGCAGATACTGTAGTGATGCCCGCGAGCAATAAGCTACCAACCCCCAACCGCTCAGCAAATCTGTCGTTGATGGTCGTGGCTGGGCTGTGCAGCGCCTAGGTGTCAGTGTGAGAAGCTGCATGGGCGAAAAGCAGGGTGTTGCTGATGAAACGCCAGTGTGCTCTGTCAGCTCGGACAGGATAAATAAATAATGGTAAGTTTGTGAAGATCACAGCAAAAATCAGGGGCGACATGTACTCGGCTCCTGTTCTTGATGATTACAGAGTTTAGTCATTCTGTGTTTCCTTCATTTCAGGGAGCGCTGCTAGAAATTCAAGCTCTGCTGACTCAGCCTGGGATTACTTCATGTGGACTATATCACTACCTATTAAAAAATGAGCCATGAGCTGCAGTATCGGTCAGATGTTTACACACACTCATCACAGGCATGAATGTCATGGTAATTTGGGGCTTTTAATGGTTTCTTGGAACTGCTCTTTTTTACAAAATGGAATGATTGTACAGCATACATCTGTAGTGCAAAAGGTTGAATATATTTTGCATTTTCTCCACACAGTATCAAAAGTATAAATACAGGTTCAGATTTATACATACACTCACTAAGTGGGGCTGACAGTTCTACAGTGTCTTCTAACTTAACAAGGCCAAGGCCTCTTAATTCCTACCACAACTGGTAGTTTCTCTTTGCCAGTATAAAAAGTATTTGTTTGAAAGCTCTCTTTGGATTGACCAATACTCAGAATGATGGGGAAATCCAAGGTACTCAGAAGAACTGTAGATTTACACAAGCTGGGAAGGTCTGTTCTAAACAACCGCGGATTCCAACATCAGTTCAGTTATGTACAATTGCGGCTGTACATACAATCGGGGTGGCTGTAGCTCAGGAGGTACAGAAGGTCATCTACTGATCTGCATCTTGGTGGTTGGACCTTGCTGCTCCAGTCTGCATGCCAAATATCCTTTGGCAAGACATTAACCTCAAACTGCTCTCAGTTGCATTCATGGGAGTATGAGTGTGTGCAAATGTTAGATAGAACGCACTTACGTAGAAAAAATGCATAGAAAAACCATAGCCTGTACAAATGGGTGAATAAGGCAAGCTGACATTTTCAGCTTGGAGTGCTCAGGTAGAGTAGAAAAGCGCTATACAAGAAATTTACATTTATGTAAGTAGAATTGATTTGGATGTACCACCACTTTGCCAGAGATCTGGAAGAAGACCCAAACTGTTACCCTCAGATAAGAGGAAATTGGCTAGGATGTTCAGGAACCGCCAAGGCTTAAGCCTGCCATGAACTGAAAACTGCTTGAAGAACAGCATCACTGTCCACAGTGAAGCAAGTCTCATGACTGAGAGGTGCCCCTGGTCCAGAATTGACATCTTCAAGCTGATCTGATAAGACAAAGATTGAGCTATTTGGCCGCAATGACAAGATGTATGTTTGGAGGAGTAACGGGGAAGCCTTTAAACCTAAGAACACTGCACAAACTGTCAAGCATGGCGGTGGTGGCATCATGCTCTGGGGCTGTTTTGCCGCTAGTGCTACTGGTATGTTGCACAAAATGGATGGAATAATAAAGAAGGAGGACTACCTCTAAATTCTTTAACTTCACCTCAAATCAACAGCTAGACAGTTGAAACAAGGGAACAGTTTTGTGTTCCAACAGGACAACGATCCCAAACACACATGAGACCTGGTTTTTGAATGGATAAAGGAGGCTAACAATGAGCTTCTGAAGTGGACTTCCCAAAGCACTTTGGAAAATTTGTGGACTACACTTAAAATTGGTGTTCATTCCAGGAAACCAGTACATTTAAAGAACTACACCAATTCTGCTGAGACGAGTGGTTGAATTCTAATTAGAATTATTCCACAAGCTTGTTTATGGCTACCTCTGCTCTGGTTGAGGTGCAACTTGCTAAGGGACATTAACCCAAATATTAGAGTAATGATAGAAAATCCAAAATAGCCATATTATACAGTATTTATACTCCATCTTTTAATAATTTTATTTTCTGCATGGTCAGTATTTTCATTGTTACCTCCCTCACACTTTTATTTAAACATAAATCTGGATTGGTTACAAAAGTTATTCATTTGTAAATGTCGACAAAGTTGATAAGATTAAAGGTGATAAAACAGAAGAAGATACTGGATGTAACCCCATTGTGCAGCCCAAAGACAAATAGACATTGTGACATCACCTGCTGGTTTGGGACTTTGTATTTTGAAGCCTCAATTTTGTGGAGCCAGAAGTGATGAAATCTGGATGAGAGGCAGGAATGCTAAGTTATTGGGTAATGCCTGCAAGCTTTTTTAACAAGCAACATGCACAAACATATGTACATATGTGCTAATTAGTCCCAAGTAACATGCAAGTACACTCACCAGCTTTGTAGATGTTAAGCACCCCACAGCATTCGGTATTACTTGCCAGATAACTCCATTAAAAATGCTCCAAAATACACAAATACCACAAACACTGTGGAGAGGTCCAGTTCACTGACTCTAATTAGCTAAGCTTTTCAAGTGTAACTCAAGGATAAGTTATACAAACATTTCCCGCTGTGCAGCTATTATGAAAAGGGAACACTAACCATAGAGGCTCAAACCATTTTTTATTCCACTCTGTTAACAGGCTTTTTAAATGCAGTGTATCTGGACATCTTAACATGGGAATCTATGGGAATTAACTCATATTTAGAGCCCTCAAGTGGCCATCGGTGGAAGTGCTGTTTGTGTGTTCGGCATAGCTCCTTAACAGCTCCTTAACAGACCATTAGGTTGTTTTCCACTTCAGGGAAAAGGATCTAATGGTCGTTTTGTGTGGCCTGCAACTTCATGTGTGTTTCCACGATGGTACACTGTCCTGTAGGACTGTGTGTGTACGTGTGTACAGATCATCATAGAGTAGTACCTTTAATATTGAGAGAGAAGAGAAAATGGAGACAGCTGAGATAGGCCTGGAGTCTATGTTTTTATAAATGGGAAGCACAAAAGAGAAATGTTTTTAAATCTCTCCTGTGTTAAAGCAGCTGCCGCGACATTAGCAGGCTAATTTGAATAACCTTTGCGTGTCTTCGTCGTAACGGAAACACAGACAAACAATGACCTGAAGGGATATTTAAGTGCTGCGAAAAGGGTTCCTGAGGGAAAAGGTTCCAGGTACTTTAAATGGAAAAATAACTACTGGTTGTCCTAGAAAGTTTATTCTCGTCTTCTGGATGTTGAATTTTTTAGTGCAATGTTTTTGGATGATAGAGAATGCATAAAGACTGTAGGTTGTGAGAGGTGGGCACATTTTATTTTATGGTGGCCAAGCCCATTATTTGGTTATGCTAATGTACATTTAAGCAGAGAGCCAAAAAATTTCAAGTCAGCTGCTTTGAGATACAGGGCACTGAAGCAGTATCCTTGTCACACTGTACTTCCAGTGTAAATTATAGGGGAAGGAAAAGAATAATGCAAAAACACATTGAAAACTTTGATTTTTAATTCCTGCTTTTGTTGGTCTTCCTCAAGCTCTGCTTAGAAACACTGTGGACAAACAAAGAGGGACAGTATTTGATGATTGAGATATCAACTCAGATAAACATTGCACATGTATTTTATATATATATATATACACACACAGCAGCTCTCGACAGCAAAATACTTGCGAGTAGATGAGTAGCCTACAGTTTTTGCATTTTAAGATCATCAAAAAAACTTTTAATGTTAGACAAAGTTAGTTAAAGTTAAAGTTAGACAAAATGCATTTTTTAAAAAAAAGAAGGCAATTGGCAACAAAAAACAACCAACCAAAACAACCCGGCCGAAAAAAAGAAAAAAGGGAACCGAACAAAAAAAAAAACAAAAAAAAAAACCTAAAAATCCCAAACAAGAAATGGGAATTCAAAGAATTCCCTGGTCCTTAAAAAAAAACCCTTGAAAAAGAAAAAGAAAAAGAAAAGTTTTCCCCGGGGGGTCCTGGTTCCTTGGCCCGCAAGAAAAAAAAAGGGAAAAAAAACTTAAAAGGAAACAAAAATGCACATTTTGTAATCTATCAGAACATTGTATGTAAACGCAGCAAACACCTACCATCACATTCTTAAAGTGTCAAATGTAAGTGTAAATAAGTCTTTATTTGTTCTCCTTCACACCTTTCTTTGACCACATGACGTCTTCCATCGAGGGCTGGGAAATGTGGTTATAAAAAGAATGTAGGAGGTACATTTTTGACAAGTCAACTGCACCCCGGAGCTTTTGTAAATTAGCAGACGTTGGCCCCCAAATGAGGTTCTGTAGGGTCTTGACATCACTATATATAAAATGATCTAAGATGAAAAGTGTACAGAACTGAATCAGTTTAGGCTTGTGTTCTACACACTTTTAAACCAACAGTACACAACTTGGACTTTACTTCCATCTTGTGTTCAACAGAGAAAACTGCAGCATGAAGGAGGGGAATAAAAACATCTGCAAAATGCAGCTTTTCACAGCACTGGTGACTTACTGTACACCACACTAGTTAAACACACACGCACAAGCATGCCTGAGAGAAAGAAAATCCAAAATAAATTCATGCTTGTGTCCCCAGTTCTTGTTTTTTTCTTTTTACTTTTTTTAAGTCATTAAAGATGAATGCTGTACAATCAGTCCAACCATCAATGACGAGTGTATGTAAACGTGACCACAACTTTATATTGTTCTAGACTTTCAAGAACTAGAAAATAAGCAAACAACAAAACAGTACATTTGCAGCCATAGATCTTATACAGTCAACGTCATTTATCTACTTATTTTCTGCACTGTCAGTGCATTCTTTGTTCATATGTAAATGTCACAAAGTTGATAAGATTAAAATTGAAAAAACAGAAGAAGATACTGGATGTAAACCCATTGCAACCCCTCCGTGACATCACCTGCTGGTTTTGGACTTTGTATTTTGAAGACTCAGTTTTGTGGAGCCAGAAGTGACGGGATTTAGACGACAGGGTGGCGGCTGATATCAGCTACTGCCTTTTTGTTTGTGTAGTTGCAACTAGTTGTAACTAATAAGTGTCTCGCCAAGTGACACTATAAACTATATAATTCAAAACACTCATGCCATTTAGTTCATTTTCAGCAAAACTAGACCAACCTCAGTTTCAACAAAGACATAAATGAAGAGTCACACATCAACACTTATGAAGAGTCTTGTGATAAAGAGTCCTTCATCACACGGAGTAGTAAAAACATAACTTGCTTATGTATTTTTACTACACGTGTGATGCTGCAGTGTGACCATAGCATCTGTAAGGACAGTGCACAAATACGGGGTGTGTAGGAAAGAAGTGTAGGAAATGATCATCTCATGGATGTCAATCAATCCCAAGCCTCTGATTAATTTTGTTCTGAACATCTTGAATAAATGCTATAGAAAGAGGTGCTCCATCCATCAGAGTCATAATAGGTCAAGAAACTTTAGTTGCTAAATGCCAAATGCTGAATGTTAAAAAACGTTACATTTACTCTAGCAGATAAAAATATTTGGAGTTTGTTTTTCATACTGTTGCTTATAAAACTAAAAACGATCCTCTGAGTTTTAATTTAGATCCGTGAAGGTTTTTGGTTCATTGACTTTAATGCAAACCATTGCGCTCGTTTCCGGGTTCATATATTTTTTAAAAGAAAGAAAACAGAAAGAAAAACACCCCCAAAAAATCTTTTACTGGGTTTTAGTGCAGACTTTAGTTCATCCCCCGTTTGGAACAAGCTATTTTAGCATCTCCTTTCAGTCAGTTTCCTTTTTATATTTCTGTGTTCACACCCAGACCTGTGTGTTTGTGGTGACTGTATTAGGGATATCTGGTCTTAGTGAAGTCACTGAATAGAAAAGATGTAGGGAACAGAGCTTTTAGAGCAGTATTAAGCATGAACCTTTGCTGCATGCACGCATACACACATACACACATACACACATACACACTGTGTGTGTTCATCTGGATCACCTTCCTTCTCTTTACCACACTTAGAAATAACATCTGGATGTCTTCACTGTAGATCTGGTGAGGTTTAGGTGAACTGAGGGAACAGAAAGGGAACACAGAAGGGAACTAACAAACCTAAAGTAAACTAAAACTAAAGTAAAAACAAAAGGCACAAATAAAAGGACAAGAAGCAATAGAAATAATCTTAGGATAACTCATACACACAAGAAAATACAAAGTAACACTGCTAACAGAAAACTATAAATAATACAGAACTCCAACATGAATTGCTTCTCAACGCCAGAAAGAATCACAATGTGCAGAAAAATTCAAACCCAAGGGTCAAAGACGCACACACACATAGTACAATGTGCAGTCAAGAAGCCCCACTTTCTGTTTCCACCCAGGGAGGAAATAAACGTATTAAAAAATACCATCCTGCAGACAGCTCCTGGCATTTGTGGCTCACTAGGCAGACAGTAGGCAAGTATTGCTTCTGTGGGTGTGTACGTGTGTGTAAATAGGTCATTACAAAGACCTGCAGCTTTGATACTTAAAGAACGTGAACGAGACGGAGACAGTGAACATGTAACCTGTTTGCTGTGCATTTTTAAACAGAGAGCACAAAAGAGATATTTTCATAAAGACCTGTGTGAAAACATCTGTCTGAATAATCTTTGAAGGTTTGCACTGCAGTGGAAACAGACAAACACTGATGTGCAGAAAACTTGAAGAAACACGGAAGTATTTGTTCAGGAGGGTGGACGATCAGATCTGCAAAGCAAAAAACAAGAAGCTACTTGGAACAAGGACAGAGAACTAAGGTGAGCAGCAAATTATGCTAATAAATGATTATATCAGTGTTTTATGTTTTTACATGGATTCAATTTAGTCTGTTCTTTTCACTGCGTGCCAGCTGTTGGGGTGCGTTTTGTTCAGCAGGAGTAGACGAGATCTAAATAATGCCAAACACAGCTGCTGCCAAGAAATGTCGCTCCATAATGATTAAAAACTATAAACCAGGGCAAAAATGACAATTCACTATAGACAATAAATAACTAAATATAATCCACTATCCCCAAATCACACATTACAAATACTTAGCGTTGGTTTGTGAATTTTTGTCACTCCCTAAATTGGCGCGCAAATCATCAAAACTTTCCGAACGTGTTCTTTAGTTTAAAGTTACTGAAAACCATCAAGTTTTCACATTTCAGGCCACTTTGTGAAACTCTGTGGGAGAACAAGTTTATTTCCTTCTATCAAAATATTTATCAGGTAGCGTGAAGGTGATGTAACCTTTTTTATTTTGATCTGAAAGGGAATATTGCACACTTTTTTTTCACAATTTCAAAGACCAGTCTTATTATTAAGACCGGGGTTATTATTCTAATGGTCACTTAGCCTTTAAACATTGTAAATTTACCATAGGTAGTAGAAATAAAAGTAAAGAGGATGAATAAAATGTATGTGCTCCGAACTAGCGTGTTAGCAAATGAGGAAGTGTTCCAGTTGTTGGGAAGTTTTTCAGTTTTAAAAAAACTGAGACTTGTTCTGTTTGATTTTTTTTTTTTTTGCTTGAGGTTGAATTTGACTGCAGGCATGTTCAGGCAGCTCCTCCACACACAAAGACAGGGAAGCACGAGAGGCAAAGATGAGGTATAACTCAAAGCAAACGGATGTTTTACCTGCAGAGAGAAAATGGGTCAAAATGGATTTTGTTTTCAGTGCTTCACAGCTCTGCTGTCCACAGGTGGCTGACAGAACCAACTAAAGTTGGAATCACATCTAAGTGACAATTTAATTTTTGTTTTGCTTTAGAGTGGCCTCTGTTTTTATTAGGGTGAGGGTGTGTTTTCTTTTCTTTTTTTTTGTTTGTTTACTTTGTTCTATTCATTTCTGACATAAGAATAAGCTCCAGAAGTTAATAATTTCAAAGTCTCACCAAACTGATAATATTTAACACAAAAATGTCCATAATGTTTAAAGTAATCCTTCTTACAAATGACCTAAACTAATCGCAGAATTCTAACTTTAGTCTCAAAATTCTGAGAAAAAGTTAGAAATCAGAGAAAAAATAATTCTGAGAAAAACATCAGAATTCTGGAAAACAAGAAGAAAAAAGAAGAAGAAAAAAATAGCTTCCATGTCTGAAAAATAAAGCAGGCACTGAAATGCATTAAATCTGCTTGGCCAGCAGACCTTCCAGTTGTATATTTGGCTCTATTCCTTAGCAAACGAGCTCAGCAAACACTTTGATGACAACTTTATGGGCTGTCAGTATTAGACAAAACAATTTTTTACATGTTACATGATTTTGATGTTTAGATTCGTCATTTTGCTCCACAAATTACTTCTAACATCTTCTTTCTTGTCTTTCATCATCAATCCACAGACCTGAAGACCCTAATCAGCTGATTGTGCACTTCCACATAAGACTTGCTGACAGTTAACAATGACTGCTCTAGCACAAGTTAAAAAACTGCTGAAAGATTACCTCGACGAGCTAAATGAATCTGATCTAAGATCCTTTCAGTGGTACTTGGCCTTGAATGAGACAAAGGGACACCAAACTATCAAGACATCTCATCTGGAGAATGCTACCAGAGAGAAAACTGTGGACAAGCTGGTCCAGGTTTATGGGGAAGATGATGCTGTGAAGGTGGCAATTGACAATTTCAGTAGCATTAAGCGCAACGACCTGGCGAAAGAGTTAACTGAAGGTAAAATGCCATGGTGGTGTTGACACATCATGCAAACATTGAATATTTGTTCATTTGTATCTTCTTGTTTTGTTCATTATCTCTCCCAATGCGTAACATACCATCGATTTGTCACGTCCATAGGCATCTCATAGTAACACAAAAGGTAACTTTCCACGTTCTTATGAAATGCTCAGTTTTCAATTCAATCAAATAGAACGCTGCAAAGCGGCTTTCTATTCCAGCCCTAATCTTAACCCTACCCTTAACCATAACCTTAATCATAATTTTAACCATGCCTAATCCTATCCCTAACCTTGACCCTATCCCTCCTAACCATAACGTTGTTAGGTTGATTTTCATGTCACACATAAAACACATTTAAAGATTCATTCCAACCCACTCTCATGCGTCCGAAGGCGTAACTGTGATGGGGTTACGCCGTCACAGAACGCTGACAACCAACATGAGTGCAGGCACGCACAACCACAATTAGATTCCACACTCTTCACACGGTGTTATTGTGGATACGTGTCGTTAAGCCAACAGGTCAGATAAACAGGAAGGGGTGACAGCTAATTCAGATATCCTGAACACAAAGGAACCACAGAGACTATGTTGACCTCACAGTCATTTCATTATTTACAGACCTGCTGCCAGGGCTTTAAGGGGGTTGTCTGGAAGAGGAAGACGACTCAGCCCATCATCATTACTGTTGTTCTTGTCCTCTGTGACGCCATCAGAGGGACGGCCTTCATCTCATGAAAAAAACTTATCAATGGCTTGTGATCCATGATAATCATATACTTCCTGCCATACAAATACCTATGAAAATACTGTACACCTGTCACGGTTAACGCTGGCCAACCGTGGGGATGTGAGGAAAGGAGGACCCAAATGCTGGACTCTTTGATGCAACAGTGCGTTTATTTACAATGCAGGGAAAATAACAATAAATCCCCAGTGCGTTCCCGACTCCCCTGACATATCCTCTTCCCAGTGTTAGTGTTCTTTGTCTCCGCTCCTCAGTGTTTGAGCACCCATGCTCGCTGCCCTCTCAGCTCCACACTCTCCTGGGGAATAACAAAGAGGCAGCCGTCGGACACACCACAATGCAGCAGACTTAACTGGCCAAGAGACTAACATGAAGTCACGCAATGATCCAGCGTCGGAGAGAGCTCCACCAAACTCTTAAGTAACTCCTCTGACGAGGCTTGATCAGCTGCAGGTGTGTGATGGTCTTCAGGTGTGGCCAACCACCTGGCAGGGCCACACCCACCAGGACTGAAGGTGCTCCCAGATACACCTGCATCCACACACACACACACACACACACCAAAAATACACGTCCATAATTGCTCAGGGACCCTGGGACGCTCAGACCCAGGACCCCGACAACACCAAATATTAAAGCCAATCCTTCTTTATCCAGCTGTTAGTAGTTCTTTTCTGCTACGTTCAGTGTACGTGATGCATACCCAATAGGTTTCTCCTGACCATCTGCTGAGCTATCTCTGCTCCCAGTAGGGGGATGCATTGCAAGAAAAAATCAAATCTTTCTTCTCATCATAGTGCACCAATACACTACTTGACAGTTGCAACAGTTCCTTTGACTTACAGAAAACCTTCTCCTGTTCTGGTCCCCAACACCACGGTTCCTCCTTTCTCAGATGCTTGTGCAGTGGGGCAAACAGCATGGACAAGTTTGGAAAGAACTTATCATAGAACTTCAACAACCCCAAATAAGCTTTGAGCTCTGTCGCTGATTTTAGGGCTGGCACCTCCTGCAATGCTTTCACTTTTGCCGGCACTAGACATAATGTGGTCTTATCCACCCGATGTCCTAAAAATGCCACTTCCTTCTCCATGAACTGACATTTGCTCCTTTTTAAACGCAGGCCCGCCTCCTCTAAGTGCTACAGTACTCCATCCAGTGTCTGAAGATGTTTTTGGTCATTTTTTGTAGTCACCACAAATCCTAGCACTGGAGTCTGGCTTTAGTATTGGTACAATGGGTGCTGCCCAATCAGAGAATTTCACTGGCTGGATAATTTTCTCCTCCAACAGTCTCTCCACTTCTTGCTACACTTTCTTTTTCATAGCAAACAGAACTGATTGTGTCTTATATAAGCAAGGTTTGGAATCACTGGCTACATGTATCTTTGCTGCGAACCCCTTTAGTGTTCTTACCTCATCCTTAAACACTGTTGCATGTCTGGCCAGTATCTGCTGCAGCATCTTCTCTGCCTTCTATCTTATGGCGTTTTGTGAGAGAAATGTTTCGTCACTTGGATGAGTGACGAAACATTTCTCCCACAAAACGCTACGTCCAGATGAACAGAATCAACTTTTGGACATTTACTTTCCTGGATGATTGAGAATGCATCAAGATGTTTTCTCCCCATTCTCCTCTTCTAAGACATATGCTTGTTTTCCCTGTCTGCCAGCCACACCCTCCTTTTTGTTCCGTTTTCATTCTGCGGACCCTTTTTATGTGTCCCACCTTGCCACAGTTGTGGCACTTTTCTGTAACAAACCTGCAGTCACCGGCCACATGATTTATCCCTCCACATCTGTAGCATTCCCTGATATCTTGTTGTGACTTTGAGCCGACGTCCTCCATCTTGTTCACCGATCCTATTCGTTTACTGAATCACGACTGCTCCGTCATGCTCCTCAAGCCCACAGTGTCTCTGTTACCTGCCTCCTTTGCTTGAGAAAACTTCAGCACTCAACAGCACCGCTCGCTTCTTCTCCTCCTCCTTAAAATAATTTGCGACAGAGAAGTAATCCAAAATCTCACAATATTCTTCCCAGGCTTGCAACTCGCTGTCAAACAGCACCACCAGGCCCACGGTGGTAGCCATCATTCCTCACCCAGAGTTATACTTTTGTTGGGGGTTTTCTGTAGGACACTGTAGGTTTCCAGAAAGTAGTCATAAATACATTTGTGATTATCATAGAAAATATGACTGGAAATGAGCAAAGAAAAGTATTGTTTTGTGAAGAAAATTGCCTTGATTGATAATTATTATGCCTACTGGGATGGGCAGTGGAGTATAAAGGAAGGTTATCAGGGCCTACTGGAGAGTGTGAGATGGTTATGGTGAGGGTAACATGTAAGGTGGTTCAGCCACTTGAGCTTTGCAAATAGACTACTTTTTTTTGTTTTTCATTGAGTTACTTTTATTTATTTTTTAAATTCTTTCTGTAATTAGTTATTTGTGCACTTGGGAGGCCGGCATAATAAAGTACACACTCCGAACCCTGCTTGACTACGCCTATATTTGTTCGGGAGAAGTTTCTGAGAGGACCCCGCGGCAGTAACATGCCGACGATTTGTCACAGTCGTCAGTATGTTACGCGTTGGGATGAGAACCTGTTCATAGACATCATCAAAGATGGATGCAGCTTCTGGGGCAGAAAAATTAAGCCAATGATTAAATGCCTTAAACCTGCATTTCATGTAAAGGCCACCAGATGGCGACAAAAAACCTCCAGATCGATACAAGTCTCACTGTAAACCCTTTGCTCCTGAGTTCAAGGTCTCTGTCACTTATATTCGGACATATTGAATAAAAATGGTCTGTTTTGTAAATTTTGGATATTTTGTGATATTAAAAATGTGAAATTTCTTTGGTATTCTCACTCGTTGGCTAAGAACTCATCAGTACTGCATCCATCTTTTATAGTGTCTACATCATTGGTTTAAATAGCAGTAAATGAGATGCCACACCCTTTGCACTGGATTAAATAAACAATAACATTTGTATATATTTCATTTTAAGCAACTTCCAGAAAGGACAAGCCAAATGATGAAGAGGCAAGTGGTGAATATTCAATTGATGAGGAATCACAAGATGAAGAGTGGAATGATGAAGAGGAAGAGGATGAAGAGTGGAATGAAGAAGAAGACGAGGATGAAGAGTGGAATGATGAAGAGACAAGAGATGAAGAGTGGAATGAAGAAGAGGACGAGGATGAAGAGTGGAAAGATGAAGAGGAAGAAGATGAAGAATGGAATGATGAAGAGGACGCAGATAAGGAATGGAATGATGAAGAGTCAAGAGATGAAGAATCAAGTGATGGAGAGCCAGTGGTCAAAAAGAGAAGAAGAGTCCATTGACTGAAACCTGAATGATGCGCTGGAGGTGGGAAAAAATCTAGGAAATGTCGCGTCATCAGCAAGTCGTCTACAACCCTGAACCTCCAATTATTTTTGAAACTGTCTTTTCCTAGTGGATCAACTGACCACTAGGAAAATACAGTTTTCTTATTTCTGTCTGTTTGTACTTTTTTTTTGTAATTTGAAGATGTTACTTGGTTTAACTTGCTTGAGTCACTTGTAAGAATTGCCACTGACACAATTGTAACAAATTCAGATTTCTGGGTTTTAAAATGTTACACGGTACAAAAACTCCAAAAAGTGTTAAGTCTGCCAAAGAGTAATTTAATTATAGAAAAAATAAAGTAAAATATGTTGTAGACGTTTCTGTTGAGCTTACTTTTAACACACATAATGATCGCAGAAGTAGAGGACAAGAAATCCCACTTCCTGTTTTCACACAGGAAGGATAGACGCTGCTGATGTATGGTAAGACTATTCTGCTTATGTACAAAGATCACAGTTTATTAATCAAATACCATCAAGATCATGGTTGCAAATAGTTTGTTTCACAGATTTTAACTTTTGTTTTTAGCGTGTCTTGTTTGGCAGCTTTAGCTTTTAAGCTAAACATATTATCTTTTCCAAGACAAGCTCTAAAACTCTCCACGGCAATGTTCCCTCTAATTTTTCATCTGCCTGAGCGAACACACAAACTCCCTGAGCGGTCCCTTGGACCACTGTGAGCAACAGCAGATGTGTGCACTGTGACACGCCAGCATCGAATCCATCCAAGTTACATGGTTTATTAAAATAATCAAATTACAGCATTTATGTTAGACTACTTTTAATTAAGTGCTTTAGCCCACTTACAATGAAAATTAAAAAAAATCTTGTTCATGACCTGTGTAGTATGTTAACACTATTGGAAGTAAAAATAACTTGAAGTGCATACTACGCCTCTGCAAGAGTGTAAGCCAATGAGAAATCCAGGTGCACAAAACATTAGACCCCAAAACACACAATCTTGACTGTTCAGACCATAACTGTGTTAACATTCAGCATAGAAATTATGCTGTGTGCGATGTATGTGGAAAGACAATTAAAAACTGTGGCAAAACAACAAACCTTGTTAAAAAAGAAAGTGGGGAGCCGGCTCTCACTCGATGGGAGTTTGCTCTTCTGATTCACTACAAAGCATGACACATTACTGGAAGACAGTGTCAACAGTTTGTTAAAAAAATAGTAACATGTCTGCACCACATTTTCTTGTTTGTAACTGTAACAGCGTTGAAACGATAGAAATAATAATTAGTTAGATTACTAGTTACTGAAAAAAGTAATGGCATTACTAGTAGCAGCGTTACTAATAACGCCGTTATTCCCATCACTGTTGGTGGATAGTTTGATGGGATCGGTCTCTTCTGGGGGTCTTTGGGGATCAGGACTGTCCGGCCTTCAGTTAGCCATTCTGGGTGTCCCTCATGGACTAGCAGCTGATTCATTTTCTACTGCCAGATGTTCGTGGAGCAGAGTCAGCTTCTTCAGCTGTGGCCTGGTGCTGTCCAGCTCTTCATACTGGAGATCCTTTCTTGCATGCCTGCCACTGTGATGGTTACTGGATCCTGTTCAGGGCTGCTCTTAGATCCACTAGCCACTGAGCATTGTTGTTATGTGTTGCATCCTTCTCCCAAATGCTCTTTCAGTATTACTTCGTCTTCAGCCTTAGTGGCGGTGCTGTTCTCATATTGTTCCCTTACCACTGAGAGTACACCTTGGCTGGTTCTGTGGAGAACAGCTGGTTTGTTCTTCTGCCTTCAATCTCTCTGGTGTATCTTTTCAAACAGCTGGCCAAGGCTGTGAGTCTTACTTGGCAGTTTCCAAGGCCTCAGGTATGGACATACTTCTTAGACGCCTTTCTGCAGCTCCGATGGCAACGTGAATGAAAATTATGACGTGACATGTAACCATTAAATTTGCAGTTTATCAAATGCCTCTGCTTTGTTGAAGGGAGTTTACTGTCGATTATTTTAGCTATTATATTAATATACAAGATATCAATTATTAGAAATGTGAGTAAGAAGCTCTGGTCAATAAAGGACCACTTTCTGTCTGCACCTTATACCCACAAAAATAGCCAACTTCCAGTGAATGGAGAGAATAGTTTCTGCTTATATAGTAACTGGTGTGTCTAGTTTACTGGAATGTACCGGCCTTACATGGTGGTGACAGATGTTCAACAGGCAGAATTTGCATACAAAGCCATGACATCAAGGTCTAACTCATTTACATAGATTCCTCAAATTTAAAAGAAAACGATCTAAAAGGACTGCAATGTTGTAAACCACAGTTATTCATATTTATTCATGTTGTGCTACCTGATGCAAATGTAGCACACTTAACAGCCATCTCGTGGTTAGAATAACTGTTTTTCCAATTACAGTGACACAGAATAACATTTCTGATTATTCAAGAAGCGACACATTGTCTGAATCATTATCCTCTCTGGGTCTCTGGGTTCCAAATACTCTTGAAAGCCCTCTAAGATTAATCAGAATTCTTTCTCCACAAAAATGAACTAAAGTCACAGGAGGTTGTGGACAAGAAGAAATAAACAGCATCAGTGTCTGAAGATACCCTCATGATTTGTCTCAGCTCAGGTTGGTCACAGACTGTCCTCATCTGTTTCCTTGTCCTGTGTGTGTGGGAGGTGTTTCTTGAGAATCACCAACAGTGATGTTCCAGATAAGAAGCAGCAAGACCAGAAAAGAAACAACACGAGCCTCTTTTTGTTTTTACTGTACAGGCATGAGAGGAGCGTGTTTGCACAGATCTGTTTACTGATTATGGAAAGAGTCCGTTTCTGGCAGAAATCCCATTGAGGAGAAATTGCACCACAGTGCAACACTTCTGCCCCCTTACTGACTTAAGGAACAAGGAAACATTTATTTGAGAGCGCAGCAGAACAGCTCTACACAAGAAAACAGGAAAATTATGTTAATAAGCAATTGGAATTTTTTAAGATGTATTTTAAGTGAAATTTACATTTTTTTCTTGTGTTTGCTTTGAATTCTGGTCACTTTATGTGTTTTCGCCCCATTCAGTGTGTGAATGTGTGAATGTGTGTGTGAATGGGTGGATGACTGAATGTAGTGTAAAGCGCTTTGGGGTCCTTAGGGACTAAGTAAAGTGCTTTACAAATACAGGCCATTTACCATTTACCATTCAATTTTTTTAGTCAAGTAAAAGTGAAAAAGTAGAGGCTCTGAAAAGTACTAATTTGTACCACTTTTAAGCTAACTGAACCTAGCTATATTAATTTAATAATAAAATAATTATTGTTAGTGGGGTTAGGTTAATTGTGGATTCTTAATGTGGCGATCGTGGCTCAAGAGTTGGGAGTTCGCCTTGTAATTGGAAGGTTGCCGGTTCGAGCCCCGGCTTGGACAGTCTCGGTCGTTGTGTCCTTGGGCAAGACACTTCACCCGTTGCCTACTGGTGGTGGTCAGAGGGCCCGGTGGCGCCAGTGTCCGGCAGCCTCGCCTCTGTCAGTGCGCCCCAGGGTGGCTGTGGTTACATTGTAGCTTACCATCACCAGTGTGTGAATGGGTGGATGACTGGATATGTAAAGAGCTTTGGGGTCCTTAGGGACTAGTAAGGCGCTATATAAATATAGGCCATTTTTAATGCCCATACGTGTGAATGGTTGTCTGTCTCTATGTTTGGCCCTATGAAAGGGTGTACCCCACCATTCGCCCTATGACAGCTGGAATAGCCCCCAGCCCCTTTACCCCCAACCCTGATAAGGATAATTGGAAGAGAATGGATGATGGATAAAATATTATGAGTAGATGGAAACACAAACTTTATTTATAACTTTATTATCTAAATTTTAATTCTAATTAATTAATATGGTCAGGTAATTAATCAGGTAAGTAGAACACGAGCAGAGAAAAAGAAAGAATATAAAAATAGCTCTGTTTTCTGTTGCCTCATTGTAGTGGATGACTTTGTGTTTAAACAGTAAAACGTGTAGAGTCAGGGGTTCAAGTGGGTTTCAGCAGGTGGGGGAACCCTAAAATTGACTGTAAAGCTCAGTGTGAGGAAAAGAATCACAACTCACAAAAATTTCTATTGAGAGCTCCAGTAGATTTTCTTAATGTACAGGCTGTGATCAGCTGATCTAAATCCATCATAGCAAACTAACCGGTTTAGCCAGCACTAACCTGCAGAGTATTTTCATGCAGCATTTAAATAGCAGTTTGTCTACATCAGTTCTTCTCTGAGGAATTTGAGAGGGATAGTCTGGCTGGACTGGTGATGAAACCAGAAGGTACAAAACTTTAATGCTGATTCTGCAAGAGAAAAAAATCAGGGCCATAAATTCTGGTGTTAGGGAATGCTCTCTTTCCCCCTTCTCTCTCTCTGCATGCCGGACACCAACATGGGATGGTTGCCGTGGTGATGTGAGAAGCAACATCTCCCTACATGGAGATGTCCGAAAGGTCCAGAAGATAAAACGTGAGCGGACATGGGATCTAAAGGCTTTCCTCCAACTTTGACCAATGTTATGTTAACATTCTGTTTTTACCAAGTTTTTACTGCCTGGGGATGGCAGCCTTTGTCTCCTGGAGTGGTGTGGAGAGATGGAGGTCCATGGCACCATGTAAAAGTAATTTGAAATTCTAACCGTTCAATAAAAATTTTTTTGCAAACTTATAACTGACCATATTTGCCTTTGTAACACTTGTAGCACCTGTGATACTGTTTAGGCTCAATCTGGATTAAAGGCTCACAGTAACATGAAATAATAACTCCCCTGAAATTAGTCAAACCAAAACTAACCAGCCTGTTTTGAAAATGTAAGGAGTAGAAAGTACAGGTAATTGTTTATAAATGAAGGGAGTAAAAGTAAAAAGCTGCCAGAAAAATACTCAAGTAAAGCACAGATAATGAAGTACAATAGCAAAGATTTGTACTTTGTTACTTCCCACCCTATTTAAGTTGTATTACACTTCATT